CCGCGCACGCCCACCTTGCAGGTGTAGACGAGCTGGTAATGGGACGCCCTGGGCCCAGGCGCGGAGCTCGAGCGCCGCCAGCCGCAGGCCCGGGGCCGTCTTTTCCCCGCGGCGTCCGGGAGGACTCTGCACGCCCACAGCCGCCTCAGTCCGGGCCCCCGGGGCCGCGCGCGGCTCACCAGCGACGACACGAGGCACAACGTCGCTCGCAACATCCCTCCCACCGACTTTAACCGCTCCGCCTCGCTGTCGCCCGGCAGAGCTGAAGCCGCACCAGAGCCATCTTGGAAGAGGGCATCGGCGGAAGCGACCCTACTCGGCCTCCGTGGCGGCGTCTGGAGCGGGCTCTGCTGCCCCCTGGCGGCGGGCGGTGCGGGCTGGCGGACTGGAGGGTTGGAAGATGCGCGCCCGAGTAAAGGCATCATGAGATGCGACGGTCGTTTATTTAGGAGCTGCATTAATTTTGTTTTCTTTTTAATATATCTTTATTGATTTCAGAGAGAGGAAAGGAGAGGGAGGGAGAGAGATAGAAACATCAATGATGAGAGAGTCACTGATACGCTGCCTCCTGCATGCCCCGGACTGGGGATGGAGCCTGCAACCCCGGCATATGCCCTGATTGGGAATCGAACCCTGATCGCCTGGATCCTGGGTCGATGCTCAACCGCTGAGCCACCCCCGGCCGGGCAGGAGCTGCATTTCTAACACTGCTCCTGCGTCTGCATTACATAAAGGTGGAACACGCCGGTGACTGACACAGTGCGTGTGCCGGTGCGGAAACGGGCGGCCAGAGAGGTGGCCTAACGAGGCGGCGCCCGCGCCTGGGCCGGGGGATCAGCTGCTGGCCCAGGCCAGCCCGCCGCCGGCGCCCCGAGCCGCTAGGAGCCCTCGGTGTCCGTGTTGTCGCTGCCCGTGGTGTTCTCCCAGTCCACCTCCCCTTGTCTCGGGCCGTGCTGCAGCTTGCGGAGCGCCCGCTTCCTGCGGGAGGGCCGAGGCGCGGGTGTGCACAGGTGCCCCTGGGGGCCGTCCCCCGCGCCCCTTTCCCCGCCCAGCGCCCACGCGGGCCCACCTGCGGTAGTTCTCAAAGCTCTCTTTGAGGCGCCGCCGCTCCTTCTCGGGAGGCTCCCCGCCGCTCAGGCCTGAGTTCTGCAGCAACGT